CCTGCCCTGCCCTGCCCTGCCCTGCCCTGCTCCAGGCCGGCCTCTTCTGTGCCAGGGAAGAGAATGGAGCAGGTAATTAAGGAATTCATTTGCAAACATCTGGAAGACAATAAGGTGACAGGTCACAGCCAGCATGGCTTTGTAAAGAACAAATCATGTCAAACCAACCTGATCACTTTCATTGATAGGATACCAAGCCTTGTGGCTAAGGGGGAAGTGGTGGATGTGGTATACCTAGACTTTAATAAGGCATTGGATATGGTGTCACATGATCTTCTTATCAATAACCTAGGCAAATACAACCTAGACGGGGCTACTATAAGGTGGGTGCATAACTGGCTGGATAACCATTCTCAGAGAGTAGTTATTAATGGTTCACAATCCTGCTGGAAGGGCAGAACAAATGGGGTTCCACAGGGGTCTGTTTTGGGGACAGGTTCTGTTCAATGTCTTCTTCAATGATTCAGATATTGGCATAGAGAGGATGCTTATTAAGTTTGCAGATGATACCAAGCTGGGAGGGGTTGCAACTGTTTTGGAGGATGGGTCAAAATTCAAAATTATCTGGACAAACTGGAGAAATGGTCTCTGAGGTAAACCGGAGGAAGTTTAATAAGGACAAATGCAAAGTGCTCCACTTAGGAAGGAACAATCTATTTCACACACAGGATGGGAAGTGACTGTCTGGGAAGGAGTACAGCAGAAAGGGATCTAGGAGTCACAGTGGACCACAAGCTAAATATGAGTCAGCAGTGTAACACTGTTGCAAAAAAAGTAAACCCCATTCTTGGATGCATTAAACAGGAGTATTGTGAGCAAGACATGAGAAGTCATTCTTCCACTCTACTATTAGGCCTCAATTGGAGTCTTGTGTCCAGTTCTGGGCACTGCATTTCAAGAAAGATGTGGAGAAATTGGATACGGTCCAGAAAAGAGCAACAAAAATGATGAAAGGTCTAGAAAGCATGACCCATGAGAGAAGATTGAAGGAACTGGGCTTGTTTAGTTTAGAAAAGAAAAGACCGAGAGACATGAGAGTGGTTTTCAAGTATCTATAAGGGTGTCACAGGGAGGAGGGGATAATTGTTCTCCTTGGCCTCTGATGACAGGACAAGAAGCAATGGGCTTAAACTGCAGCAAGGGAGGTTTAGGTTGGTCAGTAGGAAAAAGTTCCTGCCTGTCAGAGTGGTCAAACACTGGAATAAATTGCCCAGGGAGGTTGTGGAATCTCCATCAGTGGAGATATTTAAGAGCAGGTTAGACAGACACCTGGCAGGGATAGTCTAGATGGCACTGGGTCCTGCCGTGAAGGCAGGGGACTGGACTTGATGACCTCTCGAGGACCCTTCCAGTTCTAGTGTTCTAGGATTCCTGACCCTGCTCTGCCCCCATTCCACCCCTTTTCCCTGAGCCTCTGAACACCCCTTTTGGCTTCTTCCCCCTGCCCCAGAGTGATGCCAGGGGCTGGCTGGACACAGCGGGGTGGGCTGGGGTCAAGACATTTGCTGCTGTCTGCACCAGGGCCCATACTACTCTCCAGACTGCCCTGGACTCCACATCCCCTGGAGCACAGGGACCCCAAAGTGCAGGGACCAGGGAAGTGGCCCTAGTCCACCCTAAGGATGGCACAGTTGTGCTTGGATTCATTCTAGGAACCACCAAAAACTACACAACCTGCTGGCCCTACCCCCTCGGTCTCAGGGATGGACTGGGTAGTTTTGCTGTGTATGGGATCTCGGAGCCAAAGGCAAAGCTGGGCTCCTGGCTGCTCTCCTGGCTGGGGTTCATGAGGAAATGCCTAGCACCCATTGCAGCTATGTAGCCATTTCTCCAGCCCTGAAGAGTCTGAGTCACACCTGCCCCTTGAGCCCCACCCGGCAGTGCCAGAGACAAGCGTGACTCCCCTGTGCCCACCGGCCGGCTGCGTTCTGGGTGAAAGGCTGTAGCCATGGTCAGCAGGGTTGGTCCCAGCATCTTTGCATGAACATCTCTATTGTCTGGCAGCTGCCGCCCCAACTAGCTGCATTTCCCTCAGTCTCTTACCTGGGCGTACGCAGGTCTCAAGACACTCCTCTTTGTTGGCAAACCTGTTCTCGTTGCCCTGGCAGCCGCCATACCTGAACTTCTCACACTTCTTGGTGACCGAGTTGTAGAAGTAGCGTCTCACGAAGGCCTGGCACGGGCCGGGCTTCATAGGGAGCTTGCAGATGTCTATGTCTGCAGAATAAAGAGAGGTGGGTTAGGAGGGACAGGGGATCTCTGCGAAAGCTCTCAGCTTCCTCATTCAACACTAACAAGGCCCGGGGCTCCATGGGCGGTGCAAGATGCAGCAGCTGGAGTCAGACCTTGAGTCTAACAGAGACCTTGTCCCTAAAGAGCTTTGTGTGTCTGGTGTCCAGCACCCATGTGCTACCAGGTCCCAGCAATGCCATCGTCACAATGATAAGCTGCGGAAGGTTGAGGGCCAGGTTTGTGGATGCGTCAGACAGACGTAGGGGCAAACAAAATGCACGTGCTGTTTGCTTTTCATACTAGGCGCCTACATTGGCAGGCAGAACATTCTGGGAATCAAGATCCAACTGCAAAAATGACGGTTTGCCTGCAGTTCGGATTGTATTTCTTGTAAGTGATTTTGTCCAGTTCTCGACAAAACTCTCCGCTCTCGCTGGAATAAAATGTAAGGCCGACCCACGTCAGTGAGCTCCAAGCCAAACGGAAAGCTCAGGGCAGAGGTTGAAGGACTGGTGCGGCTTTGAAATCCTGACATCCTGACCCGGGGAAAGGCCTGGAGGCTGCAGCTGGAGCTTGGTCTGGGGAGGCACAGTAGGGTCTTGTCCCCCAGATTGACAGTGCCTTTTCATTGCGCATCAAACTGGTGGGGATGAAACCAGCCCAGTAGCTCTCAGTGGAGTCCCCAGCTCTTGGTGACTCCGTGCTGCGTCATGCTAAGGGCGCCTGCACACCTGGCTTGCAACAAGTAACGCCGGACGGTGGCTGCATGTCGGCTCTGTGACAGCGGTGTGTGGCACTCTGTACTCAGACCAGCGCTCTGGGCCCCACACATGCCCATCATGTAATTACAGTCTGTTGCATGCCAAGTGCCAGGTAAACTAGCGAACTGCCGAAGCCCGTTGTTCTGTGAAAGCTCGTACAGCGCGAGTGTGGATGGAACGAGGAGATTTTGCTGCATGGTCGTTCCTGAACGATGTTGCACATTTGAGAGGCATGCAGCGGTAGCTCTCCAGTGACACAAAGAAGGAGATCCACTCCCAGGGGTGTTGAACAGCGGCTCATCAGCACGCCAGGGCTGAAGAGGACTGGGTGTTGGGCAAGCAGCACACATTGGAGGATTGCTCCACTCTGTGACTCAGCAGAGCCCACCAGGATGGGTCTGGACTCGTGGTTTCCAGGCACGTTGATTGAGGATATAAATCAGGGGATGGCGCATCGTGCTCTTACCATTCTCCTCCCCACCTGTGCTGGAAACAGCAAGAATGCAGGAAGGACAAAGACTTGAGCCGCGGAGACGGGTCCTAGGCCCAGAGGAAATCTGCGTAGTCAGGGCTGTAGCCCATTGAAGAGTTTGGCAAATCGCAGCTCTCAAAGGCTGGTGTGTGTGCCCAATCTCCTGTGAGGAAGGGGCAGACTGGGTAATGAATGGACACCCCTCAGGCTTCTGACCAGAACAAAAGGGTTCATGTTCGAGTGCCGCGCCAGGAACTGGAGGATTTGGCTGGTGCCTTTCTTGGTGTGATTTGTGCGAGGGTTCGTGCCATCGAGCGGGGCGTGGGGCTCCACATGCTCTTGTGCTGAGCGATCCCAGCCCCTGGAGGGGTTTGCTGCTTGTCGCCAGTAAAGCCTTGTGAGAACCAGGCCAGGCTGTGGGGTTAAGGGGGCCCAGCAGTCCCATAGTCCCACGGTCCCATCACCAGGCCAGACTGCAGATGAAAGGAGGCACAGCAGTCATAGAATCATACAAGCATAGAACTGGAAGAGACCTCAGAAGGTCAAGTCCAGCCCCTGCTCTAGGCAGGACCAATCCCATCTAAATCAACCTGGCCAGGGCTTTGTCAAGCCGAGACTTAAACACCTCTAGGGAAGGAGACTCCACTACCTCCCTACGTAACCCATTCCAGTGCTTCACCACCCTGCTAGTGAAATAGTTTTGCCTAATATCCAACCTGGACCTCTCCCATTACCTTCAGGAAGTTGAAGGCTGCTCTCAAATCCCCCCTCACTCTTCGCTTCTGCAGACTAAACAGACCCAACTCCCTCAGCCTCTCCTCATAGGTCATATGCTCCAGCCCCCTAATCATTTTGGTTGCCCTCCGCTGGACCCTCTCCAATGCGTCCACATCCTTTTTGTAGTGGGGGGCCCAGAACTGGACACAGTACTCCAGATGTGGCCTCACCAGAGCCGAATAAAGGGGAATAATCACTTCTCTGGATCTGCTGGCAATGCTCCTCTTAATGCAACCTAATATGCCATTAGCCTTCTTGGCTACAAGGGCCCCTGTTGGCTCATATCCAGCTTCTCATCCACTGTAACCCCCAGGTCCTTTTCTGCAGAACTACTACTTAACTGGTTGGTCCCCAGCTTGTAACTATGCTTGGGATTCTTCCGTCCCAAGTGCAGGACTCTGCTCTTGTCCTTGTTGAACCTCATCAGATTTCTTGTGGCCCAATCCTCCAATTTGTCTAAGTCACTTTGGACCCTATCTCTTAACCTCAAGCATATCTACCTCTCTCCCTAGCTTAGTGTCATCCGCAAACTTGCTGAGGGTGCAATCTATCCCCTCATCCAGGTCATTAATAAAGATATTGAACAAAATCGGTCCTAGAACCGAACCTTGGGGCACTCCGCTAGAAACCGACTGCCATCCTGACATCGAACCATTGATCACTACCTGCTGGGCCCGGCCTTCTAGCCATCTTTCTATCCATCTTACCGTCCATTTATCCAATCCACATTCCCTTAACTTGCTGGCAAGAATATTGTGGGAGACCGTATCAAAAGCCTTGCTAAAGTCAAGGTAGATCACATCCACTGACTTTCCCACGTCCACCGAGCCAGTTACCTCATCATAGAAGCTAATCAGATTGGTCAGGCACGACTTGCCCTTTGTGAATCCATGCTGACTATTCCTAATCACTTTCCTCTCGTCCTAGTGCCTCAATATGGATTCCTTAAGGATCCCTTCCATGATTTTCCAGGAACCAAGGTAAGACTGACCGGCCTATAGTTCCCTGGATCGTCCTTTCCCCCTTTTTTGAAGATGAGCACTACAGTCCCCCAGTTCCAGTGTGTATCCTGGGATGCCAGCACAAGGAGTCCTGAACCAAAGTGAAACGTCCTGGGGGCTCTCCCGGGATTAGTGCAGAAATGCCCAACATCCCTGGCAAGAGTGTGAGCCGTTTCTCCAGCACTGGAGTGTCTGAGCCTCACCCCTGCCCTTTGAGCCCCCAGCCCGGCTGTGCCAGAGACAAGCATGTACCCTTGGAGCCAGCCAGCAGGCCTGAGGCCCTGGGTGGCAGGGGATGGA